TAATAATAATAATAATAATAAAAACATTTAGTTTTCAGGGGAAACTTGATAAATTTAGATCGAAAAAAATTTCCGGCGCAAATTTAACTCGGACGTTTTTAATTTAAAACTACAATTGTCCAAATGTTTAATTATACGAAACTGTTTACGAATCTCGTTTACTCGTAACTACATAGTAGGTAGGTACGTAATGTGTAACTTACGTCATATACACGTATATGTATATTTACATATATATGGTCGTCTCTCTCTCTCTCTCTCTCTCTCTTTCTCCCTCTCTTGGACAAATACGTATAATGGTGGTATCGATTAAACATTTCGGTAGGTGTTGGCTAGAATATTGGAAGCCGATGTCCGATCGAAGGATTTAACTAAGGTTGAATCCAACGCTTCGAAGTACTTGTACGTCATATCCGTAAGCAAGGGTTCTTGTTTAGACGATCATTAGATCGAGAGAACCGAAACGTTCGTGTAAAAAGTAAGAACTAAGGAGCTTTTCCTGAACGTCAAATCGTTTAAATGAACGAATTTTTATCGATCCTATTCTCCGTACACGTAAATATATTTAAAATACACATATAATGCATTTCTTTTTTTCTTTTTTTTAGCAAACTCTAACGTAACCCTTAATAAGTCGACCTTTAAATTATTTTGAATTTTACAAATAATTATCTTAAAAATTCAATTGATATTAATCAAAATTAACGTTTCATCTTTTGAAAATATTAAGGTAGGAATGGACATACGCGTTTATAATATTTTTTACTTAAACTTACCACCTACGATATGTAATTTGACACACATATTTCTTCTTAAATTCAATATAATTTAAAATCGTGTTATCTATATACATATATATAAAATGTGGCAAATCATAAAGCACATAAACATGGTATATGTATACATAAATGTATTTATATATTATATATGTGTGTGTGTGTGTACCACACGCATCATAAGTTTTCTCGTTTTTCTCGTGAAGGAAAAAAAATAGAAACTGTAGATTAAACCGTAAAAATGTTTTCACAGTTTAATGTACTCAACACACATAAAACATACATACACACATACACACACATACATATATATATATATATACACACCATTTTGATTCACGAATACGAAAGAGGTATACAAGTACACTGATCGATAATTTACGTAGAACCAAGCGTGAATTCACGCCAATGGACTTTTATTGAAAATATTTTCTCTACAAAACATCGAACACACACAGTATAAGCATACAACATTGTGAAAATAAAAACCAACCGGGATCGTAAATAAACGTGATTTTTCGGAGAGGAAGAGAGAGAGAGAGAGAGAGAGAGAAAGAGAGAGAGACAGGAAGAACAGTAGGGTAAACGAGTGGGACATGGTGATGAGTTGGGGGGGGGGTAGGAAGGATAGGGGGGTTGAGGGAGTGGCTGAATGTTATCACGTGAATCTCGATATGCATGACTTGATGTCACGTGAAAAAACAACGTCGTAATAAAGCCTGATGTTGAATTTTCCAACGCGTTTGGGTCCGATTTACTTGTACCACCGTATCGTTTTTATTTATTTTTTTTTTTTTTTTTCCGAAAGGAAAGAACGACAAAAAAAATACAACCAGAATAAAATCGTTCGCAACAAGCGTGTACGCGCGAAAGATTACACGAGCCATTACGCACGTTTCTTCGACGAATGGCCGTAATGAATATCCGTTTCGCTTGTACGAACTTGTGTTCATATATCAACGCACAGTTTCGATCGTCGTTTCGATTAACATTCATCAAACGTGCAACGTATTCAACAAATAATCGTTTCCCCTCCGTTTAAATTACTTTTTCGTAATCATTGATAAAACTTTCTTCTTTTTTCTTTTTTTTTCCTCTTTTACCCCAACGACCGCTACGATTATATTTTTTGATTTCTTCTTTCTTTTTTCTTTTTTTTTTTTCTTCTCAAACGTGTAAGATTTCTTTGGGAAACGATTGAAAAATCGTGCGAGATTTTTAAGTCACGATACTTTTACTTTGTAACAGTATATATATATATATGTGTGTGTGTGTGTGTGTATGTGTGGAGGTGGATGTACGCAAATACTTTGAGTTCATTTTTCAGAAGACGAATAATGGCTACACCACCACCGTAGAAATTCCCTCTTGGATCATCGATATTCAAATTCGATCGAGTTCGAGCTTGATCGTACGCCAAAAAAAAAAAAACAAAAATGAAGAAAACAGAGAGAAAGAGAAAAGAGAATCGGACTAGGAAACTGACGGATCTCGCAATCTCGTTGTACCTTTTATTATTCTTTCTAGTTCGATCTGTTTTTCACGATTACCGGGTGAATCCCTAGGACGAGGGGGAAAAAAATTGTCTTGGATCGTAGTTGGTATAAGCGTTTTTAATCAAAGATCTTACGAGATTTTTTAATAGGGATAATTATTTAATCATTTAATTAATAATAAGAACAAGGTTGCGTCGGGATTAATATATTAATGAAATTAAAGAACGATACGTAATACGATATTTAAAATATTATAATATATTAAACAATGCACACACACACACACGGTAACTATTAAAAGAAGAGTCAGATCGTGCGTTATATTTTTCTAAAAAGAAAAAAAAATTCTACAAAAAAAAAAAACGAATGAAACGAATAATGAATAATAAATTTTTGGTTTGTAAACGTTTATAAAGTACAGGCAAATAAATATCAGGGTGCATCGAACCACTTGATGGTAATTTTCTCGAGCGACATACTTTCGAGCAGTATTCATCCTAGTCATTCTCTATCTTTTAACGTCCCACGGTTCTCTTCGTTCGTGCATTCTTGCATCAACCCCATTGTCTCACGTTCACCCTCAGGCAACACTTTATACCATCTTCGTCTCGAAAGCTTCATATACGTACGTCTGACCGTTCTCTATATCCAAACCTTGTCTACGTCTGCCGACAAATATAATTCATTTGAAAATAATACAATTGTTTTCACAAATATGATTTCAAATAATAATTATAATTATTATTTCTAATAATAGTATAGAGACAAAATTTCTTATCTTATTAAAGCAATTTTTGACGATATACACAAATATATACATATTTGTTCGGATTCGTTGGATTGTATCGATACACCATAATGTACAAATTTATCATACTAATGTTTTTCCACGATATTACGATATTGGATCATCGTAAGCTCGTAAATATTTTTAACTTTATTTGTCTCTCTTTCTCTCTCTTTCTCTCTTGATGTATCCGAGTCGGTTCACTTGAACGTATCGCAAGGCACCCCTCGGCACTAGCTCGTTCCACTTTTACGCCTTGTGTGCAACGTGGATGGGCTATTCACGATATTCACAATGTGTCCCATCTTTGATAATAAATTTTTAATGGCGAGTTGACGCTTCAATCCACGGTGGATACCGAGCCGCGAGAAAAGCCATGAAGTCAACAGAGTTCGCACACTAACCTAAGCGTTCATTAACGCATGGGATTATGCATCAGCAGCTTCCACATATTTACATGCACACGCGCGAACACATATTCGCGTATAGGATACTTACATGAATGCATTTTTGTCGAAAAGAAAATTAAATAAGAACAAAACAAAAACAAACTAAAATAAGAAATAAATAAAAGGATTCACTCTCTACAAAATTGTAATCTTAAATTACAAGCTATGTAACAAAAATATATATCGAAGCATTTAAATTGGCGTGGTGAGAAAAGTATATGAGCACGTACGTAATAAGAAAAAAAACAATAAGATTAAAATATAATAATTAGAGTAAAAGAAATAGAAATAGAGAAAATAGAAATAATTAGAGTACATTGATTGGTTGAAAAACTTCACCGCATTTTATTCCCAATCTTTATCTTCACATTTCGAATAACAAGCTACGTAAAAAAAATATAACAAAACATTTGAATTAGACTGATAAAAGTAAAAGCAAGTACGTTAGAAAAAAAATCAAGTTTAGAGAACCATTGGAATCGGTCGAACAACTAGGCTCTTACGTTTTTTACCTCTATTCTATCTATCTCTATTTTTCTATCCCCCATTTCTCTCTCTCTCTCTCTCTCTCTCTCTTTCTTTCTTTCTTTTACCTTTTGGATGGCCTTGCTCCTAAGGCACTTTTTTCTTCAACCCATGGTCAGCTAGAAAAGCGAGAACCCGTAGTAGAAGGACAACAGTAGTGGGGCGCGGGGGCTGAAAGGAGGGTGAAGATGCGGTAGTATCGCGGGGGTTGAGAGTGTCGGTCGCGAGGTTATACGAGGGTCAGGGTGTGCGAAGGGAGGAGGGTAGAATGCCGAGGATGAGGTTGAGGTTGAGGTGTAGGTGGTGGTGGTAGAGGTTAGGGTGGTGGAGGAGGAGGAGGAGGAGGAGGAGGAGGAGGAGGAGGAGGAGGAGTTGCCTACCTCCCATCCACCCTTCCTTCCTTCCTTCCTTCCTTCTCCTCCTCCTCCTTCTCCTTCTCTCAACCACCACCACTACTACCACCTTCACTTCCACCTTCCTCGCCCCCACCTCCTTGCTGACACTTCACCCCACCACTCGTAGTCTGTCGGGCGCCAACGTCGGCCGCTTTCGAGACGTTAAGGCCGACACTCGCGCGGCGAACTTCGGCCGGTTTACATCGTATCCGCGAGATAAGCAAAAAACACACACGTGCGACGTTACGTTTTCTCTCTCTCTCTATCTCTCTCTCTCAATAATTTCAATATTTTTTATTTATTTATTTATTATTACATACATCCTAAATTCGTCATTTTTTGGAATATCGAAAGAGAATAAATTCCTTTCATCAGGATAAGGAAAACAATATTTTCTATTTTCTGTTTTCTTCCCCTTTTCATTTTTTTCTTTTTCTAATTCGACAAACGAGTGACACTTTTTTTAAATATATTTATTTATGCATACGTTAACGCGTAATCTCAATATACTCTTTTAATTTCAAATATATTAATATATTGATATATATATATATATAATAATAATTTATTTTTTAATTTTTATTTTTTCGTTGATTTCTCCTCGACATTCCTTTTTTTTTGTCTTTCTTTCTGTGTATACTTGTAAGTGAGACCATGTGTAAGTGAGACAGTTTATTTCAAATCTATTATTTTCTATCTCTTTTTTTCTTTATTGGTGTGTGTGAAGAAAAAGATAATTAATAGAAATATTGTCTCCATGCGTTTTTCGTTCATGCTGAAAACTTCCACGAGGTGGAAACTCGACGATCTCTGACGAGAGTTTCGTTGAAGAAAGAGGTGCCTCGGAGAAGGAATTAATTGACCAAGAGGAACAAACGGGGTGGTGGTGGAGGAGGAGGAGGAGGAGGAGGAAGAAGAAGAAGAAGAAGAAGAAGAAGAAGAGGTTGTGGTGTAGGAGGTGATAGTGAACGGTGGTTCCTTCCAAAAGGACATCTTAAAGAAAATAAGGATGGGGTTTTACATCATCTTTGTAAGTAACTAAAAATTAATATTATTCGTTGTTTTTTTTTTAATTAATTCGACATAATACTAATTTTTCTAATTTTCACGTATATTTATATATAAATAAAATTTTGTTTGTTATACGTGTCGTTTTTTTTCGATTCAAAGTTGTACATTAGTTTCGTCTGCTTTTGACAACTTTTTTATTTTTATCTTACCACAGAATTGTGTGTGTGTGTGCACTCCTTGTCGTCGTCGTCGTCGTCGTTTCGTAGCACAGAAAGTTTTAGACGACTACAACGTTCCCTTCTTTTTCTATGATTTTTTAGTTGTTTGTTTGTTCTCCTTCATATCGTCCTCCTCTCACTCCGTTTTTCTTTTTCTTTTTTCTTTTTTTTTTAATTTTTTTCTCTATCTCGAGAGTTTACCACTCTTCAATTCGTACGAGTGTCTCTGGTTTTCTACTCACTTCGAAGTTTCTCTGTTTTCTCGTGAAGAAGATCAAAGAAGACCAAGTCGCTTTAATCTGCCAATGACGAAATACCACCACCACCACCACCACCACCACCGTCTCTTCCTGCATACCTTATTCGACTTTACCATCGTTCTCTTTTTCGTATTTTCGTACCTTTTCATCGTAGTCCTTGCCCTCGTCTCCTGGGTTTCCCGTTTGCATGACTTTGAAATGCTTTCTGCGTGTCCTTCTAAGACAGTTCTGATTCTCTTTTTTCCCCCCCCCCCCGTTCCTTTGGGAAACGGAAGATGGAAAAATTAACGTCGGTGCCACGTGATTTTACTCTCTCTCTTTCTCTTTCTCTCCCTTTATAGACGAGAAACGCGAATAAGGTCACGCGGCTGATGCACGCGATCTCTTTTGCATTTTTTCTATTTCCAATCCAACTTTTCTCTTTCTTTCCTTCTATTTCTTTTTTTTTCTTTTTAATTTTTTCTTCTTATTCGATTCTTGGAAAAGTCTCTTCTATCTCTACCCGATAATTCTGATTTTTGCTGCACTTTTTCATATATATATATATATATATATATATATATATATGATTACTACTACATACCAGTATTACTACCACCAACACTATTACTAGGTAAATCTCGTTAGACCAACGTTCGGCCATTCGTGAAATCCCTCAGGATTAAGCTCGTCGATCATCGACTTCTAGCTTGTATAAACAAAGGACCGATTGTTCAGCTTCGCTTTAAAGCCAAAGATCAAATTTCGAATCTCTAATGTATTACGTCAAGATCGTCGATTTTATAGGATCGATCGTAGCTAAGTTAGTCGTGATAACTTATCACCTAATTTCATCGATAAAATCTTATGTAATAGAAATAAATTTTCTTTATTCGGTTTAATCGAACACACATATATTTTCTCAAATTAAAATGAATTCTTTTTAAACGGCGCCAGTCTTAGATCGATTTGTTTTCAAATTGTTGTATAAATTGGCCGATAAATTGGTGGAGATTTTTCTACATGAAAAAGATACCTAAGATAAAAAACTTCACGAATTTATTGGGACCAACTTAATGGGAAACGTTAGAAGAATTAAAAAAAGTTTATTAGAATCATCGATTAGAAGAAAAAAAAAAGAAAAGATGTTTTCTCTTATATTTCGCGCGCAGTGATGTCTAGTGATAATCGATTCTTAGAAGATACAGTGGTCAATACGACAAACGAATAGGAGAGAAAGAGAAAGAGAGAGAGAGAGAAACAAAAAGTTAGTCGAAAAGTTAGAAGAAAAGTCTTTCCTCGAGTAATAGGAGTAGTAGTAGTAGTAGTAGTAGTTGCATTTGTAGCAGTGGGTAGCAGTGGATGGTAATGGTGATGGTGATGATGGTGGTGGTGGTGGTGGTTCCACGAAGGTGAGGAAATAAAAAACTTCATCGTTTCTTTTCGCGGCCGCTGCAGTCGCATAGTCCTGAACAAATTCTTGAGAGTACACCTTACGGATCCTAAAATAGGAGAAGCAACGACCTGCTTGCCTGCCTTGCCGTTTCCTTTCGTACTTTTCCTACAACCTGGACTATTCGGCGCGGAAAATTCACGAGCACGTTAATAACGTTCTTGAAATAGTGGGATGAATATAGGTAGAACTGTATAGATCGAAAAAGGGGTGCTCCCAACCCTTTACCTTCATCCTTTTCTTTCTTCCTTTCTTTCTTTCTTACTTGCGTTTCTTTTTCTTTCTTTTTATTCTGATCTTTTTTTTTTTTTTCTTTCCTTTCAAGTACGTTCGCGATTGAAACCTTTTTTGTGACGAGTTTGTACGATCTTGATTTTCTGAATGATTCTTAAATTGATTAAACGATTTAAACAGATTGATTATATGATACATAAATTATTTTAATTTATTGTATTTCATTCAGGATTGATTTGAAATATTATACAGATTTTAAATGATTTATTCAATTTTAGATTTAACGAATAATCGTGTATGGAAAATTTCATTGGCAAATGAAGCCGAGTTTTCTTTTTATTTGTATTTTTGAATTACTGTAAAAAAAATATTTTCTACGAGGGATAAAAATTATAAATATGACGATTAATTTAATACAACTATATTTATCGCGTACGGTAATAAAATCGATTGTAACATATTTTTTTTTTCGATAATTATTTATTACATACATTTGATCGTGCAGGAAAATATCATTTTTACGTATGATAATTTAGTTATATTAAACGTGTCACCACCGACGAGATATTTAAGTTAGATACTCGTTAAAAAGAATATTTTTAGTACAAAATTTAAAAATAAAAGAAACTTTTAAGATGTTGAAGAGATAAATGGGATTAGCCAATAATTTTGTTGCCTATAACAATATTATTTTTCATCTGATGTGAAACATAAATAGCAACGAAAGGAAATTGCATTATATAGAAACGCAAGATAAATAAATACTTATCAGAAGTTATAGGAGAACTGTCAAACACATGAATTTTCAATATTAAAATATGAAATAATTCGAACCAAAACGATTTATCTGCCTCTCTTACGTTAAGTTACTCCTCTAATATTCGATTTTTTATCGAAGTCGTTAAATTTCAACTTCCGAGAGGATCGATAAGCTTCCCTCCCTCTCTCTCTTTCTCTCTTTCTCTCTCTCTCTTTCCCTCCCTCCCTCTTTCTTTTTTGGAAAGACAGAAAGGAAAGAAAGATAGACAAAAAAAAAAAGAACCCTCCTCGAGAAAAATCAACGAAAGAATCTCCGATTCACTCGTTTACCGCAAGAACTCGTTCAGACCGTTCTGTCCTGCGGAAAAAAGATAGAAAAGGTAAAGAAGGGGAGGAGGAAGAGGGGAGGGGGAGAGGTGAAGGAAATTATTTAGAGACGGTCCCGTTAGTTCTATCGATCGAACCACGAATATTCGTTCGGCGAATATTCGTCTTTGTCCACCCATCTATCCTCTTTTTTGTATCTCTCTCTCTCTCTCTTTCTCTCTCTCTCTCTCTCGTTGTCCCTCTTTTTTCTATTTCATTTTAGGATCAACGTATCATACCTAACTTTATTCTGCGAAATTTTCTTTTTTTTTTTCAAACAGAATATTAATTTTTTTCTTTTTAGATATTCTAGTTACTTTTTGAATCGCATGTTAAAGGGTGGTATTGTGAATTAGTTTATAGAAATTTTGTTAATATCGTAAAGAGAATTGAATTAAGGTGGTGAATAGGAAATTAATTTTGTTTGTGTATTGAAATAATTGTTTACATTGCACATACACTATAAAAGATTACTATATAAATTAGTTGACAAAAAGTGCGTTATTATTGTAAGCAGAATTGCTTTAAGATTGTGTCAGGATGATAAATTAATTATTTTTTTTTTTTTAAATATTTCTTATAAAGTAATTGTAACAAATGCATTATTATTGTAAACTGTGTTTATTTTTATGCATGAAACCATGCTAATGAAACTTTTTTTTTTATTTTTTTAATCAAGTCTTCTTTTTAATAAAATTTTATATAAAAACTTTTTAATATCCGCAAGAAAAAACATATTAACCACTAATCGATTATGAACAAGTAGTATAGTATACGGTTGTTAATTGACTTGGGTGGTAAATTAGTATTATATTTTTGCATTTTTTATTATCGCGATTAGGATATTACTCCGTGTAGTGTAAAAGCCAAGAAAAAGAGATAGAGAGAGAGAGAGAGGATAGTAACTATCGTCGTGGATATATTTTGTTGTCCTTTTAAAGCAGGAGAGAAAAAAAAAAAAAAAGAAAAGTGAGGAAAAAAGAAATATAAGATTGAAAGAAGAAACTACTCACTATACGTTCTCACTTTCAAAGAATGAATACTTTGTGCTTTGTTATTACCCGCTGATTTTGTTCGGCCACCCTCGAAGAAATTGCGGTACGAAGGCGTTTCGTCTCAACGAGAGGAGACCCTATTGTCGGTTTCTTACTTGTTTGTCCGGTCAGCCTTCTTCTCTTCCTTTCTCGTATACCTACCTGGCTTCTAAGATGAAGACCGACCCTTTTCTTGTATTATATATATTTTTCTACCTTCGTAACACTAAGCTACTCTCTTGAAATAGGCTCAAGTACAACCCACGCACACATAAGCACGAATGCACATTTGCTTACGATTTTCCTTAAATTATTGTTACAGAAAAATTGTTCAGAAAACACACATATATAGATTATGTTTTCATACAAACATTTATTCACGCATACAAAGCATACTAGTATTTTACACATGCAGAAAGATGTACAAAAATGTTGTGTACACGCAGGAAATACACCTGTCACATAGATATAATACTATTGTGCATACACGTATGGTAAAATATCAAAATTGATGTATATACCAAAAATATACTTTTATATATTATATTCACGTATGATTATATATAAAAATTTATGTACACAGACTCAAAATATACTTGCATTTATACATTTTCCTTATATAGAAATATTTATGCACATAGACAAAATACATTTGTAGATAGTATGTAAAGAAAACGTATGGTAAAATAGAAAAATTTGTGTTACCATAGCATACA